TCTGTGTACAGTGTGTGACGATGTCATTCTATACGGATCGAGAGGATGGAAAGCTTTACAGAGTCACGCAACCTCGGTGAAACACCGAAAACAGACATTTCTACTGAAAAGTAACTACTCGATCTCAAGCGCTTTTCGACAGCCTGGAGCATGTGTAAAAACAAGAGGAGTTGGCTAAAAAGAGAATGGAAAAAGACGGAGAGGAACAATAAGCTTTTAGCGCTTGCTAAAAAGCTAAAAATGAAGAGAAAATAAAGTATTCTACCTCATGAAACTGTATATTGTTGTATTTACTGTAAATAGACTTTATATAATTAAATACATTCATAACCCATATATAGTAAACAGTGTGGGACTTCACTATCACTGCATGAGGTAAGAATCAACACTTTATGAATCCAAGTAATGAACAAACCTTAAATATGGCAGGGAATGTGTTTCCTTTTTTCGTTTTGATTTTGAGCAGCAAATTTGAAGTTACATGTTGGTGCTCACCAGGAATGCATAAGCAAAATTGCACAAATTTCACTTGAAAGAATAGTGAACAATCTTGGGATTTTTTTCTGTTCAAGTTTCAAATGGTGTGTAAAATGAATACACTTCATCTTCAGCATGTTTAATGGCACTTTTGTAAGTGGCCCCGCCCCGTGTCCCGGCCCCGCCCCCGTCTCGGCCACGCCCCTTTCCGCTTTTTAAGATAAGATTAGATAAGATAAGATAAGAAAACCTTTATTAGTCTCGCAATGGAGAAATTCCCAATTCATCATGAGCCACTCTCATCCCTGCATCCACTGATGTATTGAAAAAATTCAGCTCACTATTTGATGAACACCACGGGCCGAATATAAACCACGTGAAAATAGCACAGTGTCAATGTGCCAACGGAGAATTCTATGACATTGATGATATGGATATGTCACTGTTTCAAATTTTAAATACTTTACCTGATCTAAGATCAATTCGATTTAGATGTATCGAAAAAACACAAGAAACAGTGGCAAAAACAAAGTGTAGGCGGATTCGATCTCGATGAAAGCAGCACGTTCAGAAAAGGAGAAAAACAAAGAATTTCAGAAGAAAACTCCAAGGTAGGGGGGTCTACAACGTGTAACTAGACTTAAAGTTACACTATTAAATCAAAAAAATGTTCTATGGTACAGTAATCCCTCATTTATCGCGCTTAATGGGGACCAAAACCACCTGCGATCAACGAAAATCCGCGAAGTCCCGACCAATTAACATAAACGGGTAAAAAAAAAATATATTTTTTTTCAAGTCCGCAAACGGTCCGTGAGAAGCTGCAAAACAACAGCGAGTCACATAGAACAACATATACAGTACTGTACTCCATGTATATTTAAAAAAAAAATAAAATTGTTTGAAAAAATCCACGATGCACTGAACCCGCAATAAACAAACCATGAAGTCACGAGGGATCACTGTATTTTGTTTCAATTTTTGATTAAAAAAACCTGAAAAAGATTTCACAAAAAAAAACTTTCTCCTATTTACCGACCCTATGCTTAAATTTCATGTGACCTGAAACACACTATCGTTTTTGTTTTGCCTTATAATATTTCACCAGTAATGTGAATGCTTTTCCGTGCCTCACGATTGCAAGCAAAGATAGCGGAATTATAAACAGCTTGACGGGTCCAAAAACGGAGTTGCTGCTAGCTAGCTTGCACCTTGCTCAGTCGATTGCACGCATCCTGTTGTCTCCTTCAGGGTGTTTTGATGTGAACATAACCCGTGTTATGTTCACAGTGCCGCTTTACATTCGACCGTTTCATCAATGGAATTTTGTCACTGCAAATTAGACACACCGCAGAACCTGTTCTCTCCACAAAGGTGAATCCGTCGTTCGAAAATGTGCCAAACTCATCTTTTTTTTCCTCTTCACCAACTGC